CCCCAGAGCTGCACACACTGCTGCTGTGGGTCACACACACAGCACTGACCTGGCCCCCAGAGCTGCACACACTGCTGCTGGTGGGTCATGCACATGCCGGTGCTGCAGTAGGCGTGGCCGTGGGCGCACTCGGAGCCGTCCAGCAGGTACACGTTGGCCGGGCAGTACGGGGAGGCTCCGGTGCAGAATTCGGGCAGGTCACAGGATCCCGCAGCCTCCCTGCACATCGTCCCTGCCGCCTTCAGCTGCGGGGGACAGGGCAGGGTCAGCGCACAGCCAGGGGGACCCGCCGTGCTTCCTGGCACAGCTGGCACAGCTGGCACAGCTGGCGGCCGTAAACACCTCACGGGTGCCCCGGGAGCCTGCTGGGGGCTGTACAGGGACACATTCCTCAGCTGGGCCTCGGCCACAAAGCTGGGATTCTCCTGGGGAGGGAGCTTGGGACAGGACACAGGGAATGGCTCCCAGGGTGGATTGGACATTGGGGTTTGGAGCAGCCTGGGACAGTGGGAGGTGTCCCTGCCATGGCAGGGGTGGCACTGGGTGGGATTTGAGGTCCCTCCCACCCAGCCCATGCCAGGATTCTCCTGCAGGCACAAAGCTGCCCATGAGCCCTGCCCATGGGGCACAGGGACTGTGACCTTAGGGACAAGCACGGGAGTCCCAAGGGAATGGCAGGGTCGGGTCCCACCTCATCCCCTGGGCACAGGGTGGGCACAGGGTGGGCACAGGGTGGCAGGGTGGGGTCTCACCTTGCAGCTGTGGCAGCAGTCACCGTGGGCACACTGGGCCCCCTCCTTGAGCGTGCAGTTGTGAGCATTGCAGCAGGGGTTGGTGCATTCCTGCATGGAGAGGACAACTCCATGGGCAAAGGCTCCATCCCTTCCCCTTGATCCCAAAGGTTCCATCCATTCCCCTGAGTCCCAAAGTCTCTATCCCTTCCCCTGGTCCCAAAGGTTCCATCCCTTCCCCTGGTCCCAAAGGCTCCATCCCTTCCCCTTGATCCCAAAGGTTCCATCCATTCCCCTGAGTCCCAAAGTCTCTATCCCTTCCCCTGGGTCCCAAAGGTTCCATCCCTTCCCCTGAGTCCCAAAGGTTCCATCCCTTCCCCTTGATCCCAAAGGTTCCATCCCTTCCCCTTGATCCCAAAGGTTCCATCCCTTCCTCTGGGTCCCAAAGGTTCCATCCCTTCCCCAGAGCTGCCCCCAGCCCCTTCCCCACCCATCACAGCACTGCCCTTCTCATCCTGCAATGGGGGAAACTGAGGCACGGGGGGCATGAGGAAGAACTGGGCACTCAAGGGAAAAGTCAAGGAGAAATCAGGACTGGGATAAATGGATTCAGGGACTGGGAAAAGCCCTTGGGATGGAGCCCCTGTGCTGGCAGCCAACCCTTCTTTGGAAATGCCCAGTGCAGGAATTCCCTCAGCTGAGATGGGCTGCAGGAGGGTCCCTCTGTACCCCAGTCCCACAAGAAAATCTCTGTATCCCAAATCCCTGCAGAGTCACTCTGTACCCCAATCCCTGCAGGACCCCTCTGTACCCCAAATCCCATCAGGACCCCTCTGTACCCCAAATCCCATCAGGACCCTCTGTACCCCAAATCCCATCAGGATCCCTCTGTACCCTAATCCCATTATAACCCCTCTGTACCCCAAATCCCATCAGGACCCCTCTGTACCTCCACCTCCCCGCAGTCACAGTCCTCTCCCTCCTCCCTGAAGCCATTGCCACATTTCCGTGCCACCACCAGGTCCTTGGTGTCGGGCAGGTTGAAGAGGCACATCCCCCCTCCCTTCTGGAAGTAATTCTCCAGCTGCCTCTTGCTGCAGGAGCTGAACACGCGGGGGAAGGGGTGCCTGTGTGGGGAAAGGGGGAGCAGGGCCGGGGCAAGGTGGGCAGTCAGGGAGAAATGGGGATTTAGGACATGGGCAGAGTGGCACAAAGCCTGCCAGGAGCAGATTCCCCACTGTGCAGTGAGCCCAGGAACCCCTCCCAGCCCAGCTGGCACAGCCACACCAAGAGCCAGGGCACAATTCTGAGCCAGAACCCTCAGGAATGGGGTGGGGGGCAGGCACAGCCTCTGTCCATCACCCCTGGGACATCAATCCCCTCATCCTGAGACTGGAACCCCCCTGGGGTGAGCCCCAACCAGCCCAGCACTGCTGCAGGTGTCACCTCTGCCCTGGGGCACCACAACCCCCCGAGCCACCCACAGGGCAGGGCCCCACACCTGCGGGGCCCCTCTGCTCCCCACACAGCTCAAACCAACCAAACCCTTCCTGTTCTCACTGAACCACAGCTGCAAACACCCACCTGGGCTGGCATGGGCGAGTCACTTAAATTAAAGAAATACAGAAAACAAAAAAACACCCAAAAAACACCCAGAGAGCAGCAAAAAAAAAAAAAAAAATAGAGCCTACAATGTGCAAGGAGCTGAGAAAAACTCATTTCACCTCAGGACAAACACTCATTTTCTACAGAACCTCTGAGCAAGATTCTTCTCTAATTTCACCGTTTGGGGGGTTTGGTGGTTTATGAAGAAGAAGGAAGCATTTCCTCCTGCTTAGAAACAGTCTCATTTCCTCTTAAAGCTGAAAAAAATTTTCATATCAGGACATCTCATTCTCGAGATGACTCAGAGGACATTTTATAAAAGAGTTTTGAAATCTCCTGAGCTGGAGGGAGACCTGTAAGTGCCTGCAGCTCATGGAGGCTGAGCAGGCCAATGTCCCCTGTTTGTATTTGTACATGTTCACATTCATGGCTGTGCAATAGGGACGGGCTGAGCAGTCAGAAATGTGCTTTTCCCCCCACACAATCCACAGGTTGAATCCTGTGGGGTCAATGCCAGGGTCTGAAACCACAACTGGGGTCCCACTGTTGCTTCCCAATAGGAAGAGCACGTGGGTTCAAATACCAGGGAATAAACAGGGAATAAACAGGGAGTACAATCCCTGCTTTTCCTCAGTGCAGGGATATCTGGGATGGGTGAATCACCAGGAGCTGGGAATCCCAAAGGGAGGAGGACTCTGGAAAGGAAACTGGCACCAGCCAGATGGGTTATGGTGCCACCCCATCCATGTTCAGGGACACTTCAACTGTCCCAGGGGGATCCAACCTGGCCTTGGGCACTGCCAGGGATCCAGGGGCAGCCCCAGCAAATCTGGGAATTGCAGCCCAGGCAGGAATTCCTTCCCAAGATCCCAGCCCAATCTCCCCTTTCCCAGTGGGAGCCATTCCCTGGGTCCTGTCCCTCCANCAATCTCCCCTTTCCCAGTGGGAGCCATTCCCTGGGTCCTGTCCCTCCAGGCCTTGTCCCCAATTCCAGCTCTCCTGGAGCCCCTGCAGGGACTCTGAGCATTCCCTGCAATTTCCCCTTCTCCAGGGGAACATTCCCAGCTCTCCCAGAGCAGAGGTGACAACATTCCCTGCCCACCCCCACCTGCACACAGCACCCACAGCCTGCTGGTGGCTTTGGGGACACTCCCAGGGCACTGGGGACACACGCAGGACTTTGGAGACACTCCTGGGGCATTGGGGACACTGCCGGGGCCAGCCCCACTCACCCGGTGGCTGCTGCCATGACACAGCCGCCCTGCTCCGGGGTGGCCTCCACGCAGCAGCCCTGGCTGTCGTGGACCATGCCGAAGTTGTGGCCGATCTCGTGGGCCATGGTGGCCGCGGCTCCGATGGGCTGCTCCGCGTGGTCCTGGGCACCGGGGCATGGGCACGGGTCAGCACGGCCAGCACGGAGAGGGGACAGGGCCACCCACAGCGGGGATGGGGGATAAAGGCACCACACGGCCCTGGGATGCAGCTGGACCCCGCAGGAGGAGGAGGAGGAGGAGGAGGAGGGGGGCTTGGAGGGCTTGGAGGGCAGAAATGGGGTTTGGACTCCTGAGATTCCAGTGTTGGGGAGCTCTTGGCTGGAGCCAATTTAAATCCCGGGGCACATCCCAAAGCCCAGACACCGGGGTGCCCCCCACCACCCTGCCCAGGGATCAAAGGTCACCAAGGCCACCCCGACCACCCCATCGTGCCCAGGGCCACCATCAGGAGCAGGAGAAGTTATCTGGGCAGGGGTGGCCCCAGAAATGCAGGCAGGGAGCAGGCAGGGGCTGCCAGCTGGGGATGAGGCTGGACCTGGGCTCGGAGATCCTGACCAGCCCCTGCCCGCCCCACCGGAGGGGTCAGGAGCTACAGCATCGTCCCTCACCTTCAGGCTGCCCCCAGACCCCTCCCCAGGCCGGGGTGGCACAGGGACCCCTCCCCTTACCACGCTGACCCCCCCGGAGTTGTCGGCGCTGCACATCCCCTCCAGCGGAGCCATTCCGATGGTGGTGCCCCCGAACGTCTTCCCCCTGCCCGGGCAGGACAACGGCGCACTTCAGCACCCAGGGGTGGGTTTGGAGTGCCAGCCCCAGCTGGGACCCCCAGCCCGTGTCCCCAGCCCAGGACCCACGTCAGCAGCTGGGCATTGTCGTGTTTCTTGCGTGCCCTCAGCGATTTCTTCCACTGCAGGAACGCCCAGAGCGTGGCGTTGGCGTCGCTGCTCACCGCGCACTGGTCCCGCTCCGTCCACACCTCCAGCCCAATCAGGGCCACCTTGATGTTCAGCAGCCTGTAGAACTGCGGGAGGGGACAGCTGCAGGGCGTGGGGACAGGAATTGCCCGGGCACCCTCCCTCCCTGGTGTGGCCGTGTTCCCTCTGGCTGTGACTGCAGAGCACACCTGTTCCAAAACAGGCACAGGTGGAGCCAGCCAGGGTGGCACAAAGTGACAACACCTCCGTGTGTCCCTTCTGTGCCAAAGATGGTGGCACTGATCCCAGGCAGGGCCCAGTGAACGCTCCCCTGTGAGCTCAGCCCAGGGGGACAAAGCCCTTCCCGTGCTCTGAGAAATCCCCAAGTCCCTGATGGGAGGCCAAGCCCTGGCACAGCTGCCCAGGGCAGGGCTGGAGTTCCCATCCTTCAAGGATGGGGATTTAAAGTCTTTTAAATTTGGGGACTTAAAGCCGTGTGCATGTGGCACTTGGGGACATGGGCAGTGGTGGCCTTGGCAGAGCTGGGCATGGATGGACTCAAAGGATTTCAAGATCTTTTCCTGCATTAACAATTCCATAATTTGATGATTCCTTGCCCTGGTGGCACGGGGACAGTCCCTGAGGGCCACAGGGGGGGCTGCAGGTGCCTCACCTTGTCCACGTAGTTTGCGATCTCCACGATGCGCTGCTTGGTGTGGCCCAGGTTGAGGTTCTGGTTCCTGTACTGGAGAGAGAGGAGGATGAGGAAGGGTCACGGGGTAAATCCAGGGTGGGGACACAGAGGGAGCCTGGTTTTCTGTCCCCAGCACTCACCAGGGTGTGATCAGCAACGATGAAGAGCTCCATGTACTTCATGGTCCTCCAGGCATCTCTCCTGGCCTGCGGGCACACACAGGGCTCAGCAAAGAGGGGCAGCCCTCGGCTCTGGGCACCCTCCAGGCACCAGAGCAGCCCAGGAGGGACAGCTGAGAGGGGAAACTGAGGCACAAGGTGACAGGGAACCTTTGGGTGACCTCGTGTCCCACACCGTGGGACATCAGACCCAACCCAGGTGTCCTCTGGGCTCTCCTGCCCAAACTCAAGCCACCCACACGGACCCTCCCAGCCCACGTGCCTGCACAGCCCTGCCCAGCACATGGCAGCAGTGCCAGGAGACCCTGCCAGGCCTCTGCCTGTCCCCAGACACGTCCCGAGAGGATTTAACCATGTGGATTTATCCATGAGGATTTCCCCATGAGGATTTACCATTAGGATTTCCCTGAGTGGATTTACCATGAGGGTTTATCCCTGAGTGAATTTACCCACGAGGATTTCCCTGAGTGGATTTACCCGTGGGTGCTGTGGCTGGAAGAGCTGGGCAATGCCAGCCATGGTGCTCCCCAGCTCCTGGCCGTGCCCACAGGTGCCCCCTGGCATGGGCAGGTGCTCTGCTCGGTGGATGAGGTGCACACCTGGCTCGGGGCTCCCCAGGGGTCTCAGGTAGTAGCTGCTGTTGCTGCTCAGCACGATGAGGCCCCTGGAAATGGGAACAGCCCCAATGGCTCCCGTGCTGCCTCCACCCCACAAACCCTGGCACATCAGCCTGGTCCATACCCCAGGTGGGAGCAGGGACAAGAGCTGGGGATCTCCTTCCTCCCTACCCTACTCCTTCCCCCATTCCCAATCCCCCATTCCCAATCCCCCCATTCCCAATTCCCGTTCCCCATTCCCAATTCCCCATTCCCAGTTCCCCCATTCCCAATTCCCATTCCCCATTCCCAGTTCCCCCATTCCCAGTTCCCCGATTCCCATTCCCAGTTCCCCCATCCCCATTCCCAGTTCCCCCATACCGGATTCCTGAGCAGGTGCTGATCACGACCCAGGAGCCGCGGTGGCCTCGGACGTGGCCGTGGTAGTGACAGTGCTCCTGGAGAGAGGGGACACCTTCCTAGAGCAGCAGCCCCCACGAGCTGATCCCAGAAAGCTCCCAGGAAAGCTCCCCTTTTCCATTTCCCCATTTCCCCTTTTCCATTTCCCCATCTCCATCTCCCCATTTCCATTTCCCCATTTCCATTTCCATTTCCCATTCCCATCTCCCCATTCCCTTTTCCCATTTCCATCTCCCCATTCCCATTCCCCTCTCCCCATTCCCCTCTCCCCATTCCCATTTCCCATTCCCCTCTCCCCATTCCCATCTCCCCATTCCCATTTCCCATTCCCCTCTCCCCGCAGCAGGGGCGGGAGCAGCCGGAGTTCAGCCGGGGCCAGGGCGGAGCTCTCGGCGCTGGGAGGGTGACAAGAGGCGCTGGGGACAGGGGGAGCGCCGGTGCCGCCCGTGTTTGTGTCCCGGGCCGGGAGCCGCAGGAGCCGCATTCCTGCGGTCGGGAACCTCCCCCACCCTCCCGGAGCGCCTCTGGCTCCGTCCCGAGTGCCCGAACCCCAAAGCACGGAGGGGACCCCCCTGCACCCACCGTGTGGTTGGGGGTCACGGTCACGGGCTCGCCCTGCTCGCTGTAGTGAGTCTCGGTGTAACCCGGGGCCAGCAGCCTGCGGGGACAGAGGGGCAGGAGCCGGGAGCAGCACATCCCCTGAGCTGAGCCTAAACCCGGCTGAGCCATCCACACATCCCCTGAGCTGAGCCTAAACCCGGCTGGGCCATCCACACATCCCCTGAGCTGAGCCTAAACCCGGCTGGGCCATCCACACATCCCCTGAGCTGAGCCTAAACCCGGCTGAGCCATCCACACATCCCCTGAGCTGAGCCT